GGCGGATATAGTCAATACAATGGCGCATGTGAGCCGCTTGCAAGTGGCCAGGAAGACTCTCATCGACGAGCTTCTCCCCTTTCGCGGCAGCTTGTTGATTAGCCCAATAGCCCCCTCTCAGACCGTCCTAATCAAATCAGCATTTAGCAGTGGTATACACACCGGGGTCAGGCGCTCCTACCAGACAATGTAGTTGATGATAAACAGAGAATGTTGACCTGGCCGGCGCAGTCGTGGGATGAACAAAGAAGCCACCACGATCAGGGAACATTTCATCCCAGGCACGATCTGTATGTTCTGAAGGCGGGTATGAAAAGCTTCGATTATACACAAGCGTCTGAGTGATTGTGCCAACTGTTGTTACGTTAATAAAAATTTATATCTTATCGTGACTAAACGAAGAGTGTTGTGAGACTTGCAGTCCGCCACCCAAGCGCTAGATGAAGCCGTACGGAATCCCCATAGGAATCCCAAGAATACAGAAACCAAAATGGCGAGAACGTAAGCCGTAGTTTGAGAAGCAGAGAAATTAAATCGATATAGAACTTGTGACCATCGGCTGATTGGCCCTGAAATTAAAGTGTATGAACCTTTCTGCGACGACCACATGGCAAAGGACGTAAGCACAATTGAAGGTTTTTCCCTCGTTGTTTGGTAAGTTTGAATTCTCTTCGTATCATGTTACATCTAGATATTTTCTTGTTCACATAGCCAGGATACATCTCTGTTCAAGTGTAAGGTTTGATAGGGGTATCACGAAGATTTTGCTTCAGCCCCTGCCCTTCGGGCGCAATCGGGATGTCGGGCATTTCTGACTGAGGGGGTAACATATCGTCAACACGAAAAGTCGGTCCGTGCAATAATGTAGATTGCTATGCATGACTTGATAGCTACTCAGACGCTGTACTATTCGCAAAAATACGAGTTGCCGGATGGATGTGCCTTCCAAATGTTGGCATTGTTTGTCTCTACTACTACTTAACGGTGGACTCGCCGAGATAAATGCATGTTTACTATGATGTAACTCTATACCTGCATAATGCAGTTTGTGAAGGAATATACTACCATAACCTTTGATTCAGCGGTTAATGATTCGATCATGCTGAGGATTCGAAGGATGCAGATGCATGAGCGGGCGTCCAGCAACCGGCTGACCACCCTTTCCTAAGTAGTATCCGCCGTTTCGCAATCCCCCCGTTGCCTATCGGTGGTTCGAGCTTGTCGAGAATGGCGATACTGCAACTTGAAAGAGTGCCGTGCATGAAGAATGAGACGTTCTTGTTTTCATCACCCGCTCTTTCATACCATCGACATGGGGAGTAGAAGTGAAAATTGCACTATCATACTTGAAGGATTGTAGGGGGTTACAATGCGTTTGTGGTGTTATAAGAACCCCTCCATCATGATCATAACCAGAGTAGTAATGTTGCGGGTGTAGCTAGGGCGGCGCATTGCTGCCTTTCGCTTGTAGTCAACTGGCCTACCAGCTGCATATCCAAGGATTGCGCCCAATAAAATTAGTAACAGCCCGTAGGACTTTGATCCAATCGTTGATACATACTAGACAATATCAGCAGGACGCCGAAAGATTACTTACTTGGAAACCCCAGCCGCTTTTCCAAAGCATATGCGAAACTGACTGGTATTCCTCATCACGATCCTTACCCCTCTCGTGGGGGCTCATGGTGCGATAAGCGGCTACAACATCCCAGTGAATATGAATGCAGGCTTATGTAATTCTTCCCAATATCCTTTTATCCAGTACTAAAAAGGGGCAGGACGAAGACCTGGATAGTCGGATTCACAGCATACATCTAGTCAAAGCCGAATTTGCCGATCGTTCTCTTCATCTTAACTATCTACACCATTTGTGCATCACCGTTTCATCATGTCAGCTCCACGTATCGTTGAATTGGCCCAGCGTATCGCCACTAACACAGCCAAAGTGAGTGAGTACTTGACCGCCAATGATCTTCCGCAGCCATCATTCGACTTAGACACTCCCCCAAATGGACCAGTACCAAAGGATGCAGCGCCCGAGATCATAGAATTGCATCAGTCCGTGCTCGATGACACAGTCGAGCTACAACATCTCATGTTGGGGCCAAGAGATTACCTAGTAACCGGTTTCCCTGTAAGTAAGGCTATAAAGTTTCATCAGGATAATGAGTTTCTGGATCTCTAACTTGGTGCTGTAAATAGCATAATGTTCTCCTTCCACAACAAGCGGTTACGCGGTTCGGCCTGGCTCGTGGACTACCTATTGATGGCGAAACAACCTTCGCAGAAATGGCCGCTTCGTCTGGTCTGGCTGAAAGTGATATTCGTAAGTTGGTACGCTACGCAGTGTCTCAGAGAATCTTCGAAGAACCACGCCCAGGTATCATAAGGCACAGCGCCGCATCACGCCTACTAGCTGAAGATGCCGGGGTGCACGATTATGTTGCGACTTGCTCAGACGAACTCTGGCAGGCCGCAGCGCAAACTTGCAATGCCATGGCTCGGTTCCCCGGCTCTGGGGAACCAACCCAAACAGTAAGTGTTCTGGAGATGAGGGACCGGGTAACTTGATACCTATATTAAATGTCATCTTGAATAGGGCTTCTCTCTAGCTAACAACACCGACAAATCCATGTATGAATTCCTGTCGGGCTTTCCAGAGCGCTCTAGCCGGTTCGCGAACATGATGCGCGGATTTACCAGTGGGAAGGTGTTCGACCTCAAATACGTTACGGACTTTTACCCCTGGGAACAGCATACCGGTGGCACTATTGTTGATGTAAGCTTATCTCCAAAACTAGCTCTCCGTAGATCTGACTTTCATAGGTCGGTGGCTCTCAAGGCTTCGTCTGCGTGGCTCTCGCTCGCAAGTATCCTTCTATGTCCTTTGTAGTGCAGGACCTCGAGCCAGTAATTACGGAAGCCAAGGAAAGCGTACCTCCGGATGTTGCTAGCAGGGTGTCATTTATGGTCCACAACTTCTTTAAACCCCAGCCAGTATCTGGGGCAGACGTTTATTTCTTCAGGTGGATATTTCATAATTGGTCAGACAAGTATTGCGTCGAAATTTTGAGAAATCTTATCCCTGCTCTGAAGGGGGGAGCTAGGGTGATCATCAGTGATGCAGTTCTTCCGGGGCCAGGTGAAGTACCAAGGAAGCTGGAAACCCAGATGAGATCTTTCGACCTCGTAATGACCGCGATCCAGAACGCGAAAGAGAGGGAACTCAGTGACTGGGCGGCGTTGTTTCGAAATACAGATGAGAGATTTGACTTCCAGGGGGCTACTCGCCCGCCCGGGTCCAATCACTCTATTATAGTCGCAGTATGGAGAGGAGATGAAGATGATGGGCCGTTAGATAAATAGACATCAGATAGATCTACGGTACGATCAGATATGTCCTACAAAGGCTACGAATAAGTTCATAGAATCTGTCGCGAAGGTCAGAAGAATAATTGTAGAATACTAGTGTTCAAGAGAATGGGGCGCGATACAAAGAGCTGAGTCTTACTCGGAACCCTAGTCGTGTAGAGTCCTGTTATAGTAATTCCGGAGCGGTAGGTCCCTTCAGAAATCAGGCGTAGGTGTCCTTGCCGTAGATACACATATTTGTGGAGGGAGGCGTACTAATTTGGCTTTTGTAGAATACTTCCGTTGAAGAGTAGCTGAATCTGATGCTGAAGGCTTGTTAAAGGAGTGGGTTCTCTGACTCGATTATCTTACCTACCTTGCCAAGGTACTCATATAGCTACTCTTTCGTGCTAGCTGCTAGTTCTAATTCCATGATTGCACATATAAGCCGGAGCAAGAGAATTTATTCCGAACGAGGTACATCGTCTATGCCAACGGACTGTTGAGCATATGGCTTCTTCTACTAGCTGGAATTCGTTTAGATCGGCATATTATTCTGCTTCTGGTCCCGTTGTTTGCCGTCAGATTTAAGCCAGTAACAGTTCAATCATCACATCTATGCTCTTGCGATGAAGTAGCTATTCATTTGCTACGCAAAGGCTACTGCATCGTAAACTGGCCACTTGGTGACTCTCAATATCACAAAATGCCGTGAGCATGATTTGAGGGTGTCGCTCCTTAGCCTCCCTATTAATACGGCTCGCGAATGGCACATATGCCACACCAGTCACAATCTGGACTACACTGTGTGTGATCCGGCCCAGAAAGCTGATAGTCTAATTCCCACAGGGGATTATAATACCGCCTCAGAGGGCTATATGCGCATGATCCTACGAATGCGTTTGCTTGTCGTCGTCTGCTGTTCTTGTTGGCCTTCTTCTGCTTCTTGTTCAGTTGCGAAGTCAGCTGCTTTTGCCCTGAATCTGCCAGCCTAACGTCGGCAGAAGGTGTTAGTTCGGTAGTTACCGCTGGGTCTGGTGACGTACTATCCCGCAACTCTTCGGTAGCAAGGGTTGGGAGGTTATTGTTCGGGGCAGTCTGGATCGTCTCGTCAGTTTATTCTTAATCATGGCATGAGATAGCTCAGCCGCCTCAGGAGAACCGAATAGGACCTACATTCTCCCCTTGGTTGTGCTGATGACGAGGCGAGTCTCTCGGTGCTGTGTTAATGCATCGAATGTTGCAAAGCGTCGCTGGCAGTCGCAAGCGAATTGGCGTGTGGCATTCGTCATGTTGGTATAGTTGGATGAACGATAGGCGAAGCTAAGAAGCTTATCTACGTTTGAGATAGACGTTGGGCAAATAGCAGAACTATGACCTATGATGAAAGACAAAACACATGAGCACTGCTGTTGTGTCTCGCACCCCTCGCGGCCTACCTCCAATCACAGCTATCTCTCTAAATACTTGGGGGTGCTGCTCATATGCTTTTTTCTCTTTTACTGCTAAGAGCCTCTAGAGAAAATATTTATAAAAATTATCAACTGCATATATATAGCCTTTAAAGTTAATTAAAAGCATTGGGAACTAAGAAGGGGAAAAAATAAAAATAAGACAAAAGGGGCAAGCAAAACAAAAGATTTCAGCTGTGATTCCGCCCGGACTCGAACCGGGGACCTTCAGTGTGTGAGACTGACGTGATAACCAACTACACCACGAAACCATTAATATAGCAATCTTGGCCAACTTTGCTAGTGTACGTTTGCAACTCAATTGCGTCTGTTTCCTCGTCAATCTTTGCTTAGTGGGAAAATATGACCATTTCATAGGGATTTTTCCATAAGCTACACGTTTAGAAATGCAAGACCTTTTGCTATATAGGCGAGCCCGGTGGACTTGCGTTCATAAGAGACTGTTGCGTTTAGGCCAGGAGCCTAGCAGGTGATAGGCCAAACGTATACTTCTGGGTCTGGATGGTCAGAACGCAAGAAGGATATCTTGGTCGTAAGGGAACGCAATTGAAATCAATAATTATACTAAATGAACCGAACAAGATTCTAAGTATGCTAAGGTCACTCTCCAGCAGTAATCACGCTTAATTCTCCTTTGCGCGAGGATTTGCATGGTCGTTAAGCTACCCCCCCTTTTCCACCCACTCCGCTGCATTATAACAAACGTCGTGGGCGCGGAATGACAAGAAGCAATTGCTTTGGAAAGCCCACCAATACACGCTACATCTGTTAAGATGTCATACATAAAAAGCTCGCGATGGCCCAAGTCGTTACACCATAACTCAGCAGTATCGGTCACGAAAAAGTTATTCATAGATACCCAGGTAATTAGATGAGGTAAAGAGAATGAGAGAAAACTCTTTCGCTCGTTTCACGCGTCACCGGTGACAGTGTGCATCATTACACCGAATTGCTGTCATTCCCGTGACTGTACGGCATCAATACGGCGCGCGGTGGTCAACGCAGTTACACGACCAGGATCCTTAGCCCCGCGGCGGTTAACAACTGGTCAATCCTCCTATCAAATTCTTTACCGCCTAGCAGGTATTCAACACACGGCTTCAACAAACATTACTAAACCCCTTCTTGTCAAACCTCTCATCTCTTACCTCTCACTTTCCCTTCGCCACGATGGCTAGCAATGGCGGACCGCCGAGATCACAAACGGAAGCGTGTAGACGAGGGCGTCCCGCGAAACAGTGACAATCGCAACAAAAAGACCAAAAAGACCAAAAGATTAAGCGCCCCGTCGAACTTCTCACCAGAATTCTGGGATCAACTCTCACAGATTCCTCTTACCGGTCGTGCACTGCGAGAGCTCGATCGCCGAAATGATATACAATCTCCACCGCCGCTCCTCACATCGCAGGAAGAAGCATTTCCAGGCAGTCTAGCCGAGTTTGCGAGACGTGGCGGTCCGAATATTGTTGATCTTCAAGGAGTAAGCTTCTTCCTGCCGTAACGGATTCGCATTTCACTGACAGATGTGTGAAGTATCCACCACCAAGGTTGTCTGCAGATTTTGAATCATCATACACGGAAAGCACAGATATGACTAAAAAAACGTCGTCATCCTCTCGGGGCCCTGACTTCGAAAGACACTTGGCTGATCACAGCATATTCCTTCACGACAGGAGGTCATCTGCACTAAACATACAGGATATTTGTGGCAGATTGCACCGGTCCCGGTCATCCTTATCGCTATCTCGCTTTTCCGAAAAGGACTTCGAGGCCTTCAAACGTACCAACGACACAATCGCGAATGAGGATGATGTGATGATTGACATTCTACCGGTGATATATGGATCCAGCAAAATTCTCAGTAAGAGGAATCTTCTGTTCACCGAGCTAAAGCCTATCACGAATGAATCCACAACGAAGCCGAAGCCTGACGCCTTTGACGGAGCTCATCCCACTGCTATCGACAAGCAGATCCGGAGCAAAAGGGATATCTACCCCTTGATTATTCCGACAAAATACATGCACGTCCCCGTTGCTCCAAACTTTTTCGTGGAGGTGAAAAGTCAGTCTGGTGATCCAGCTGTCTTGAAGCGGCAGGCCTGCTATGACGGGGCATACGGAGCTCGTGCCATGCATTGTTTGCAAAACTACGGGAAAGATGAGCTCGTTTACGATGGGAATGCATACACCTTTAGCGCGATTTATCACCCCGGCCTGAGTATGCTTGCGTTATATGCCCACCATGTCACCGCGCCAACCATTTCTGGGGGCAAACCAGAGTACCATATGACCCAAGTCGCCGGCTACTACTTGATGAACAACCGTAAAGGCCTTATCGAAGCTCTTACTGCATTCAGGAACCTTAGGGACATAGCACAAGAATTCCGGGATGGTTTCATTGAGGCCGCTAACGCCCACGCCCAGAATAACGCAGTGGATAAACTTCGTTCTCCGAAGAAGAGAAAGACTCGAGCCTTGAAGCCTCCAGCAAAAAAGAACAAACAAGCCCTCGAGCCTCCCCAGCAGAAAAGGAGAAGGGCAACCCGAGGGAAACCAGTCGAGGTCTCCCAGAAGTATCAAGGGTAGAAATGGATAAGGATTGACTTTGTCGCGCCGAGGGTGTCTCAATTCCTCTTGATTTCTTTACTTCTCCTTTCATTCCCTTTTTATTTCTTTTCGTTTTCCTTACTCTTCTTCTATCGTATTACTAGTCGATGTGGTTTAAGTTGAAGTAGGCGGTATTTGTAAGATAATTGAGAAGTGCGAAATCAACTAGCGGTAGAGTTCAGGGGCGTTCATCACTTGGCAATTACGAGGTCACAGAAAATCAAGAAGCATCATTCATGCATAACACTTCAGCACTCAATATCCTGAACAATACTAGCAAACAACATACTAATGGACGCAAGGTAGTCCTAAACAGCATTGCCTGGAGCAATGATGCCCAAAGGGGTTCCGAGAATTCGGTAGTTCTCATTTACTCAGACCCCTGACCTAATAAGTTTGGGGAGCTAATGACCCGGCACAACTGCGTATTACCAACAATGAGCTTTCTGCCCCGGCACATCGAGTAGAGCGGATGACTCGAACCGAGTGCTTGCCATTCAGCTATTGTTGTAAGTAATTGATGCCCTTATAGATTCATTGCCTGTCTATCTTTTAATACGTCGGCTATATAACATTTCCGGTTTCCCTAACTAAGCTCCCTTGAACCCCGCCGGCTTTTGGGCTAACAAGCACACCCTATATTATTACCCATAGCTTCTGGCCTAGTCCTTCTCAGTACCCCGCAATCGATACTGACTTCGATTTCCGCTCAACAGCCCTCTTCCAGACAACTTCATCCTACACCCTGCTTCGATCCCATGGTTTTAGTATCACTTTCTTTCCGCTCTCCATTTCTAGACAAGAACGTTAAGGCCGACGACATTTCAACACAGCCAGGGCAAGTCAAAGCAGGCCTTAATAGGTGATTTCGACCGATTCGAGCCCATTGTGGAGTGTCTGATTATTTGACCACAATGAACAATTAAATCTTGGGAGTGCGGTACGATGTTTATAGACTACGCGCGCAATTGGCTAGGTCATCCGGTCAGGGTTAAACGCTAACCTACACAGGCTAGGTTAGAATCTGGTTGGAGGGTGCCCTGAGTTGATCCGTGCGCGACGCCTTGGTTATAACTGCTGACTAACTTACTCAAAGAACAGAAGATAATTTGGATTCAATCTATTTTGATAAAGTTGAACTATGGTAGATGACATTTCGAAACGTCTGGTCTGCTTTTAAAATTCCAATAACGATTAGATAGAGTCCAAGTCAATAACAAGTTTATCCTGATTGGACGAAACAATGTAGCATCAGTCAATTACCTATGGTAAGTAGGAGTTATTGCATTGCGACCCCCATGGATATTCCCACATTCCCCTCAACTAGGGCTGAATCGTGCAGCTTAGTAGACGCTACTCCCATAAATTCAATGCTTTCATTCGCCCAAAGGGACTGACGACAAATACCCTTGTTTTGCGTGACGAACTATCCACCGCCTGCCTAATTCGACGCGATCGATGTGACATGCCATTCCATCCTACGTACAGCCTACGCGGCGCGGTGAGCTGGCATCTGGTAATGCCATCATGGTATTAGGGCCGAAGTCGAATGCGTTGAGCTAATGCAGGCATGCTGCTAGGGAGGGAGAAATGCGTGATCAACAAGACCGGTCCATGACGATGATAAATTCGCCCGTAAATTCCTCGTGCCCGGGGCCACAATGATGGATTATATCCCTCCGCCTCCTGATCATTGCTTCTAATACGCTTCTCCTGGACATTACAAGATGCCCTCCTCCGTGACGAGTCTGTCACTCTTAGCCCTCGTGACAGCATCCCAATGCCTGGCGGCGACGGCACCGAATGTCGTCTTCATCTTCACTGACGACCAAGATCTTCGTCATGGCTCTCTAGACTACATGCCTATCTTGCAGAAAGAACTTGTCGCGAAGGGCACCTCGTTCACAAATCACTATGCAACCCTTGCCCAGTGCTGCCCAAGCAGGTCGTCCCTGTTTCGGGGCCAGGCCGGTCATAACACGAACATTACCAACGTTCAAGCCCCTGGGTAAGATTGCCAAAGAAAGACCTGCAGAGTTGCCGTTGTCTTCGTGGCTGACTTGGCCCAGTGGCAACTACGACAAATGGGTCGCCTCCGGACAGGACAAGAACTATTTGCCTCATTGGCTGGTAGACGCTGGATATAACGCGGAATGTGTGTCGCACTCACTTGTTGAGAGGCGGTCTGTATTATCGAGAACGACAAGACTGATCACTCTCTCCCAGATATCGGCAAGTTTCTGAACGGATATAACATCGCGAACTATGCTACTCAGCCCAAGGGATGGACGCACGTTGATGTAACGGTACGTACTGCGAGATACGCCCAAACGCCAATTTCCAGCATTGTGACAATACTAACGTATAGCGATGCTAAGACTGACCCCTATACGTACGCTTACAACAATGTGGTTATGAGCGCCAACGGAGACACGCCTGTGTCATATCACGGATATCACCAGACGGACGTGTTGCGGGCAAAGGCGTAGGTTGTTCAATAACACGTGAAGGGGTCTGCAGGCTGACTATTGCCTCCCGCTCTATGGCCACAGTCTTGACAGGATCAAGTATTTGAGTGGTCAATCTAAGCCGTTCTATTTGACGATCGCGCCGGTTACGCCTCACTTGCCAGCCGTGCCGCTCA